GGTCTCCCCCTCAACAACCCCCCCCCCCCCCCCCCCCCCCCCCCCTTCCCCTAAGTTTCCGGTCGTCAACATGGAGGCTGCCGTTTCGATGAACTGGCCAGCTGCAGGCAGGCTGGTGCGAGCACGTGTGTTAGCCAGTGCTACAGCGAGATCGAGCAAGGGGGAGTGGTGGGTTACGCACTTTCTTCATCAGCTGCTAAGAAGTTGTCGGTGCGACCCCAAACGTAGGAAATGAACTCGCAGAGGCCATCGCGCACATCTTAAACCACCCGTCCGTTTCCCTGGTACCTTGTTCTGACCCTCCCGCGAATGCGTCGCAAAATTGCAGTTCAGGCCTACTCCAGGAAAACGGCTAGCAGTGCCTGGCAACGCCATGTCCCTGGCGCTTTGTTTTTTTTTTTCAGGGCTGGGGAGCACAACACGTGTCGGAAAGAAAGAGACGAGCCTCGAAAAAACAGGCTGGTGGTTTAAAAGTTGTCGTATTATGGTATCCTGGATCTACCTCCATCTTCTGCTAACCGGACATGAAGAGGTCAGTCTTAGAGAAAACCTTGCGACTGCCAACCAAATCTAGGAGATCGTTAATGGGAGGCAAAGGCTAGACTTTTTTTTTTTTTTTTTTTTTTTTGTTTGTTTCAGGCGATTCGATTGATTGCCCTGGATAGTCAACGCACATTTGACATTTACTATTATTTTTTCAGGGCAGAACAAACAGGTGCCACATACTCCGATTAACTGCGTCTGACGATCCAATCTTCGTCAGCGAGCTCTTCAATCTGCTATCAGAGTTCCTGTATATCTCAGACGACCATCTTTGATGCATCTCTTATAGGGGAGTAGTTCCTTGGACAGAGATCAATCTTCGTGCTTAACTACGCATCGTGGAGCTCCCACGCAGCTGAACCAAAACATCCGGATCCTAACACAACGAGGTTTGGACGCTAGTTGAGATCTCCATACCAAGTGCATGCATGTCTTCTTGTGGTTACCAAAGCCATACCTGCAAAAGGCGCTTCGCGTCTGAATCCCACGAAGACGCGAAAGCGCGTAAGAATTTGACTCTCTTTGCGGATACCGCTAAATACATCAAAGCGTTCAAAGTTCATGCATGTCTTCCAGTGGCTTGACCGAAGCCGAGTCCACCACGTCCATGGCGGCTTGACTGAAGTCCACAGCATCTTGTGGCTACCATGGCGTCTATGGCGGTTTCGCTTAACCAAAGCCGAGCCAATGCATGTCTTCTCGTAGTCACTGTACCAATACAATACCTGCGAAAGGCTGCACCGTTCACAACTTGAGAGATATGTCAAAGGGCTGACAGTTTTCAGTCAGGAAAACTGGATGAAGCTCGCCTCCAAGATCCTACAAACGGAAGGAAGGAACTTCCCGGTTACCATTCATTGGGTGCTGCCTTTCGGCACCAGGCGATCCCAATAACCATAGCAAAGGGAAATTCCTCCGAAAAATAGCAGTCAATCAAACATGAGTGGTTCACCTTTGACAGCCTCCAGACTAGTTAACGCATGCTTTACTGCCGATCTATGTTCGGCAAGTACGCTTCAAGTCTTGTAGCCTGACTCCCAAATGCATGTAACATAGGCTTCGTGGGGACATCAAATAAGCAGCGGCCCCACTATCCAGGAATGCATGAAACGTAGAATGATTGCCCGACAAATCATCCTTGTGCAGGGGCCATGCTAATCTACCTCCTCTGTATCGTTCCAATTTGAACGGATGCTCGGAAGAAATATGCAAATCCCAGCGTTTGCGTCGATCGGACAATCGTTCGCGCCGCAGGTAAAATCGATTATAAGAGTGAAGCTGTGTGCACAGCGCAACTTTCGGGGTTCAGGGCTCGTGGACCGAAATGGCTGGCGCCTCCAGTCGAAAATAAGAAAAATTGTGCCCACACCGGTCCCTTTTTTTGTCTTTTGGCATGCAGCATGAGCATCGTGGAAAAGAGACTCGGACATAGTAGTGGTTAAGAAGAAGAAAAAGAAAAAAAAGATTTCTCACGAAAACGGAAAAGTCTACTAAATGTCCTTCGGGACATCCCTTAAAATTGGAACGATACAGAGAGAGAAGATTAGCATGGCCCCTGCGCAAGGATGACACACATAAATCGAGAAATGGTCCAAATGGTTTTTTGTTTCTTTCCCGTGGTGAGAGGATCTGGTGGCTTTTCGTGATCTCAAACTTAAAAAAAAAGGAAAAGTCTACTAGTGATTGCATCAAAAGGAACACAATGGAGGATAGACACATCGAAAGCGTGACGCGGAGGACAAAGTTGGAGATACAGAACAAGAACGTAGAATGATTCCCAGCAACAGTGCGTTCTATTCCACAACTCAAACCATTCCTCCCCATATTACCACATTCAGCAATAGCGCTCTAAGCACATGGAGCAATAGCGCTCTACGCACATGGAGCAATAGCGCTCTACGCACATGGAGCAATAGCGCTCTACGCAAGAAGTACCGAGTCACTGACTTTTGTCAAAATTCCTATTGCTACCTTTCATCCTGCTCACAAATGAGCAGATCAGCGTGGCTGATGCGAAGTGCCAACTCCCCCTCTTTGTCCCCTGCCAGGTTAGATGAAACAGGGAGGGCGATGCAAAGTGCAAATCCCCCTACTTATCTGAGAGATCGTGTGCGGGATGGGTGAGGCAAAGTGCAAGCCCCCTTTGCAAGTCCCACAGTGTGGACACAGACCAACATCCTGAAGGTCGAGGAGTAACTCATTACATCATACAGCCCCAATGTCATGCATCGGTGGACCTCCTAGAGAACATCACTAATGCAAGGAGCAGAAAGATTCCCCCTTTTCAGGAAGAGCTAAGAGGAGACTACCCCCAACCAATAGTACAACCGAAGATTTGCAAAAACAAGAATTGCGAGAGAGAAATGACAAACTGAAGCTGACTCAAAGCAAATACTCAAAATGCAAGACGCTCCTTCGTAAACCATCAGAGAGTCTGCAGTGAAACTTTCACAGCGAATTCATATAAATGACAATCCAAAGGTTATCGATTCACAAAGAGCCGTACCTGGATTGTTAGATCAGTGCAGAAGCTGTTGTGACTTGTAAGCCATCGGCAAGCGACGTGGAAGATGTTGCAACCAGAGTAGAAGTCTCAAACATGTCGTAGCTTCGTTCCCCTATCCTCGCTCGATGATGCAAGCCATCTCATTCAGCTCCTTCGCTCTTGGGCATCTCACCAACACTCCCTAATGACAAACAGCTCAATTCTTCTTCTTCTTGCCGGCTTCCGATATCGTTCCCAGCTCCATTCTTTGCTTCCCGACTCGCATACCACCACCCAAAACTCCAAATCGCAAACCCTAATCCAATGTAGAACGTAATCCAGAACACTTCGATTGGAGTTTAAGTAGTTAGACGGCCCTAACCTTCTTGCCAGCACGTCAAGACTGCTTCGGTACCACATTGCTGTGTTCCAAGTTCAATCAGGATGCAAAACTCAATTTTGGGACAAGGTCGGGCGTTAGGTAACAAAGAAATGATGCAGAATCAGCAAAGCAGAAGACAAGCAGAAAAGAAAAGAAGACGAAGAAAAAGGAAAATAGAGAGCAGAATGAAGTTCAAAGAACTCAATAATCACTTCTTCCTCTTATCGCCACCTTCATTATCATCCTCAAATCTCCTCCTCCTCTTTATTGCATCATATTGTGAAAAAGAATCAAGAATAAACAATGAAACAATGTCCGAGTGAGCTCCCTAGCAAATGCTCTTGAGAATGAACTCCCTTCAGCTCCTCCTCCTCGTCCTCCTCGTCCTCCTCGTCCTCCTCCTCCTCGCAGCGCCACAGCAAGTCATAATCATCCATCAAGCATGACGTACAGATGGGGACACAAAAGATACGTCCCAGCAGTGCCAATACTCCGGGTTAAGAGTCAATCCAAATGAACCCTTGAAGTGTCTTCTTGACACAGTGCCACACTTTGGAATGGAGATGGAAAGTTCACCATAGTCAGAGGTAAGCCTTCACCATTGTTTACTTTTTGTGCCCCCTCCTCCCCCTCACATGCAGTCTTCCTCCCCTTCTCCATGCCCAATGTGGGCACTAACCACAGCTAACATAGCCAGCCTCCCCTTGCATCTCCTCCTCCTACTACTACACCTCCATAACCATAGAGGTCTTCTCCCTCAACCCTAGGCTCTCTCTCTCTCACACAGAGTTCAGCTTGCTCCGCTACATCACCCTCCAGCAGAGGAGGATTGAGCCAGCTCGCACTGTGTAGAATGAACCGGCACTCGTACTCATATACCTGCTGGACCGGTAGGTCCAACGGCAAGCAAGTTCTCCCTCTCTTGGGTAGCTCTGGCACCTACCCACCTCGCCTCTACGTCTACTGTTCTCCTCAAAAGGTGGGAACATCATTGGACACTGTAACCTTCCTGCTATCAGACATAGCCGGCCTGATACGTCGTTGGGTCTGGTCCGGTATCATCATTATACCCATACTTAAGTCTACTGTACACAAGGTCTCCCCCTCAACAACCCCCCCCCCCCCCCCCAGTTGCCGAAAAGTCCCCACAGGGGGTACCTACAAATTTACCTAAATGTCCCTGCCCCCCCTACCGTTACCCATAAATCATTGTAGAAGCCCAAACATAAATCTTGTCCCTGTATCCCCTATTTGCAGATATGTCTCTCTCAAGACACAGAACAACAGCAAACGTTAGTACTTCTGGCGCAGCCAATAGACCAACCCATAAGTCAAAGAAAGACAGACAATCATATCACCGGCAAGCGAAGACACGGCGGGCAAGGACGTCTCAACATAACTCAGCAAAAACACCAAGTTCACTCAGAATTCCACAGGGTTTTCAGACTGCTAACTGCAATGGTCATTGTCCTCGCATCCTTACGGGCTGCGTACTCGCACCTTCGTATTAAGTCAACAATCTCAATGTCGAAAACAAAGAATCCCGGCAACAGGCTTGCCCCATGAAAAATTGAAGACTGCTGTCGATGGAGATGAGCGGTTCACCATGCGATTCCGAGCCTAACGCTGACCCTGGAAAAGCAACGGAGCCGGTCGCTCAAGTGTGGCTCGCAGGGGCGCAGCTGCGATTCAAAGATGGCCATCGAGCGCCATCATATATTCTTTTTCTTTTCTTTCAGTCAGCCATGTGGCACTCCATTTCACTTCCTGGCTGCTGACTCTGCTGACGTGCTGTCACTGAATGGGCGATGCTAAGTAGGGTATCGCGTAGTCAAACTCTAAGGCGAATGGATTCTGAGAAGAGACAATTACGATCCCAAGGCGCGGGAACACATTGTCGGAGAACAGACGACCTTCCAGTATCCTGTCACTGAAGCAGGCACAAAGTGCACAGGAGGTGTTCAATTCTCAATTGCATTGACATGTTGAGAATCGCTGGCACTACTTAGTGGATGAAACCAGCGATGCAGTAAGCACATGGACTATTTGCCAGCTGGCTGGCAATCGACGGTCCACACAGTCACTGCTTGCTCATAATCGCCGCCATAAGCGGCATAACAACGTGAGGAGGCAGTGGAACTCTAGCCTACATAAATATATGCTACCTTCTTGCTGTGGCAGCCAAATGTGCAGTGGAGGCAGTGGAACTCTAGCCTACATAAATATGTGCTACCTTCTTGCTGTGGCAGCCAAATGTGCAGTGGGTTGCCTGTTCGCGCCTCCTGTCCTCGCCCTCTTGCTGCGCGAAGGACGTCGGGAAGCAGGACGGAGGGCACACACAGGTAGCCCACACTACCAAACTTAAGAAACGGATGGATTATCCTCACTCCATCCTCGCCCTCTTGCTGCGTGAMGGACGTCGGGAAGCAGGACGAAGGGCACAGACAGGTAGCCCACACTACCAAACTTAAGAAACGGATGGATTATCCTCACTCCACTATAATTTCCCTGTGAAAGTACTGAGAGCCAACAAATAATAATATATGCATTGCCACCGATAGCAAGGAGAGGCTAACCCCTGCCCAACTCTCCAAACAATGCAACCTGTCCTGTTTCGATAATTTCACGGCCATTACGGTCTTCACCGCATTTGCGATATGACAACAATCAAGTTGCGCTCTACATCACCGGCGTTATATTTGATGATGACATGACGAGCTACCACCTGGCATGGCATACATTATGAAATGCCTCTTCTGAAACATTACTGGAGTCTATAGAAGGCAGTTTTCGTCCTATGCAGAGTGGGTGAGTGAGCAAGGACGATGTCATCCATAAACATTTTAAGGTACACGTACTCAAACGTAGAACAAACCCGAGAGAGTACGTCCAAATCGGATTTAGAAAATAATAATGATAACTTACATCATGCCCCTGGCCAACCTTCATTAACCACACACCCCGCCATTCCGCCTCTTCTCAAGGTCGAATACATCGGTACAGATATCTCAAGGACGCTAGACGCACGCCTCAACGCATTTCACCTGTAAGAGCATCCAGGTTCATCAGGAGGCTAACAGCACCCATTCTGTCACGGGTCCAAAAAAAGACAGCAGAGTGGGCCTTGAGCAATCTCGCTCCCAATTTCCGAACTTTCAAAGGGCTTCAGGCAAGCAGGACAGTGTGGGCAAGCAAACAGCCCCCTTCCATGCCCTTCAGGCCTTCGCCAGAGAGTCGGAGGGCACTCCATTTGGAAAAAAAAGGCACCGTGCGCACCTCAGATGTTCAACAGCTAGAGAGGATCACAATGCACATGCTTCTTGGCAATGAGCTAGCAAGGGGAAGGACAAAAAAGACTACCTGCTGCAGGCTTCGCATCTCTGTACCTGGGCAGCCTAGCCCTCGATCACACAAGCTGAAGATTTGGACTCTCTGTACCTGTGCAGCCTAGCCCCGAATCACCGAAGCTGGACGCTTGGGTTCTCTGTACCTCGGCAGCCTAGCCCAGAATCACGGAAGCCGAAGGCTTGGCCTCTCCATGCTTTTTGTGCAGCCCAGCCCCGACTTCCCGAACCTGGAGGCTTGGGCTCTCTGTTTCTCTGCAGTCTAGCCTCGATCACCAAAGCTGAAAGCTGGGCCTCTCCGTACCTGTGCAGCCGAGCCCTGAATCACTGAACCTGGAGGCTTGGGCTCTCTGTATCTGTGCAGCCGGGGCCCCCTGAAGCACCACACCAACTTGGCATTTCCGGACCTGTGCAGCCTAGCCCTGAATCACAGAAGCTCTTAATCCCTACTTCTCCTTTTGGACTCCATATACAGAATGTACTCCTTCCATCTACACCATGGAATTCACTTGCACTTCGTTGGCCGCATGCATCTCAAACTCCACCTGCGCGGGTTGGCAAAAACGATCTCATTGCCACCATCGCCTCCTTCCTTCTGTGGTGAAGCAACTCCAGCCCCCTGCCCGAGCACCTATCATTTCATTTGAGTTACTGCCTCTCTTCAGATGCTACCTGGCATTGTGAGCTACGTAAGGGACCGTCAACTACCTGGCTTTGCAGGAGGTTCTGCGGTCTTCTTCTTCCTTCACACCTTGGCCCACTGTTTGCCCAAAAGGGATCCCTTGACCTTCTCGAACTTACCCTTGCCGGCCTTTTTGTCTTCTTCGACGCCGCCTCCCTGACCTGCAGCACCATCAGTACCATCATCATCTGAATCATGTGCCGGATTTGCCCACTCGGCTCGTATATCCTGACAGCTGTTCCACAGCTTTCGAACTATAAACGCTCCGAAAACGGCTGCCATGCAACCCCACAGCGCAAAGGACGTAATCTGCGCTCCGCTGCAGTCCGAGGCAGCAACGCGGAAGCTACAGTCCACCCCCGTGTACCCCTTTTTGCAGGAACAGATTCCGGAACCCGCCGCGCCATCGTCGCAAGCTCCGTGCGCATTGCACGCTCCATATCCAGGGCACCGTGCCCCACACCCAGGTCCATAGTACCCTTTCTCACAGACGCATTCAGCTGTACGCGCCGTGGAATTCAGATAGCAGGAACCATGACCAGAGCAGACCTGGTTTCCACCAAGGTATCCAGGACACCCATAGAAAAGGAGGTGGTGGGAAGATGAAGTAGATTGCTGTCCTGCGACTGACACAACTACGGGTCCTTTATATGGAACGGTGGCTCCTGCGCTCGCCCCAACATCAGGGGACGGGCCATGTACAGTGCAGGACAATTTCGAGTGCGCCTCTAAAATCTGCACCTCCGAGCAGGGCATGCCATCCACGGTCACATTGATTGCTTCCACGTCGTCGCCAAAGTTGCTCCCACCGATAGTAAGATTCTGCATGCTGGGAACCAGCATCATCTCTGGCTCTATCCTCTCCACCACAGGCCCAGCAAACGTGGTCACCCCAGGCATGGACGTGACACCAGCCATTCGAACGACCACGGGAACACCCCTTCCGGCACCCGGAGGTGCCGTACACTCCACACAGAACGGGAGTGCGGTCAACGGAATCACAGGACTATCCCATGCGGAGTCATTTTCCCGTCTCAGGGTCAGGTTCCTGCATTCCTTGCCTCCAACCTTCACAGCCATGTCCAGGGGTGCCCCTTTCAGGTAATTCTTCACTACGCTGATGATCCCCTTGTGCTCTAGCTCGTCGAATAGCTGCCGTAGACCGGTCGAGTTCACGAGATGCTTCGGTATCTGGCCGAAGATTTTCAACTGGCTCCCTCCTCTCGTTGCACAGCGTCCATCGCACTCCGCAAATGTGATACGCGGGAGGTCGAGCCCCTTCGTCAAGTTTCCAACTTGGGACTGTAATTGCGAAATCACGTCTGCTGCTAACTCAAGTCGATCGCGAAGCGACGTCGCCAGCTGCGTTGCATTCTGGAGCTGCTCCACAAGCATGTCAATCTGCCCTTCTTTCGTCGCGACTTGGCGTTGCAAAACCATTGCCTGCCTAGCCCAGCCATCGAGTTGCTCTCGACACCGCGGTCCACAGTCGCTTGCGTACGGCTGTGGCTCCCATGTGCCATTTGCTTCATTATGGCACAACGAGGAACCCTGCAATGTCTTTCTCAAAGCGCTGCACACGTTGGCCACAGCCCCAACCACAGAAGCAGAACAGCTCCCCACCTTTTTGCTCCCATTCCCGGTCTTCTTCCCGCTATCTCCTCCTTCCTCCCCCTCCTTTCCAATCCCGAGCATTGCCCTCATTGCACTCATCGCCGTCCCACCGGCAGGTAACACTTCCTCGCATTCAAGCAAAGCGGGCTCAGTGCCTCTGCCACCAACCACTGTTTCGTTCGGGTGCTGCACTGCCATCCAAGCGCCATCAAAGTCAGGCCAGGAGAACCCGTACGTTCCTGAAACCGAGTCTGACGATTTCTTGAACAGCTGCACACCTGAGCTGCTTTCCCACTCACCGACCACGGCCCAGCTTCCCCTCCTCATGTTCACTATGTCCCACGCCGGTCGTCTGGTAAGCCCATCATCGAATGCAACAGGGCCGGTTGTCCCATCAAATTCCATGCTCTTCCTGATGGCATCGACGACATCGCTGTCGCCAACGCACCGAGCGCTGGGATTCGACGAAGTAGTACCAGATGGATTCAAAGTGGAGGCAATTGCCAACGCGGTGACAAGAACTGAGTCAAAAACCTGTCCTGTCCACATGCCTGCTGATCCCAGGCCGACAGGCTCGGGCGTTGTTGTCACATTCATTTGGAGATTGCTTCGGGCCTCTGTGGAACTCGAGCTCCAGATGCTAAGGAGGTCATTGTAGATAGAACCACGACCGGCTGGGGCCTGTATAACAACAATGCCATCCATTGACAAGCCAACTTGTCTCGCCCATTCCTCCTCGCTTCCCGCCTTCTTTCTCAACGGATAAGTCCAATCTGTTACTAAATTAGGAAAGGAAACAGCTGTCGTGGACACGGGAAGAGCAATCCATCTCCATTCTTCCGTGGTCATACCAAGCGTGGCTGCGACCCACATCACTCCAGCCATGTCTCTTTCCGTTGCACAAAGAATCACTGCCACACCCACTCCGCCTACTCTTTTCCTTGCTCTAATAATACCTTCCAGTGCGCGCTTCACTGTCTCGAGATTGACATCTTCCCCATCAACACCCAGAACAGTTTTCTGAATCCGAATCGTGCTGCCCCCTGCCACGACCAGTTGATCAGTCTTCTTGACCACTGCGGCGATGGCTTCATCGCTCCTTCCTCTTCCAACCACACCAAGAACAGCAACGGCTTTCCACCTCATCTTCTGCACCAAGTCATAAGCAGCTTGACCAGTCGAATCTGCTGCCGCCATCAAGCTAACGACTGGGCAATCATGTTTCGAGAGCCCTGGAGCAAGGGGATTGATTATGGCAATGTCTGCCTCCTCCTCCTTAAACACTCTGGCCAGGTCATCCGCTGCCCCAGGACATGGAGGGCCAATCAGGGCCACTGGTCTCCGATCGGACCCCTCCCCCAGTGACTTCAGCCACCCCTTCAGCTTTGACACTGCCGTTTGCGGATCGCCACCACAGTCCACATCGACCTGAAGACCTTTGTAATCCAGCGCGAACGGCTGTGATTGCCTCTTCTGGATCGAGGGGATAATCTGACGGTTGACAGCGTCAATGGCAATCTTGGCAGCAGAAGCAAGCTCCTGTCCCCGAGCTGTGAAGCGGCTTCCCAGAGCCGGCTCGCCAATGTCACCTGAATGAACAGCGACTGCCACCCTGATCGTCCTGCATGCACCGCGACCAGTTTTCCCCCCAACGCACCGCCCGCACGCGTCGATAAAGGCACTGCCTTGACAAACGCCGGAGCAATCCTGCACAGCATCCCCTGCACAGCTCCCTGCGCAATCTAATCTCTTCGGCGGAGGACATCTAGCCATATTCTCTAGCCTTACTGTCAATACCACAGTGATGGGATATGGTGTGGGGTTGGAAAGCACCCCATACCAGCCCATCACCTCCGAGCAGTGAGGACTGCTGCATCGACTTGGACTTGGTTCCTCCAAGGGGAACTGTAAGAATGAGTTCGACCCATGGTCAAGATCCAATCGCTTTTTACTCGATGACGTGGATTGCTGCATGTGCACAGACATCCACGGGAGCTCGGTCTGAGCGCAGCCAACCCCGCCCCGCCGGGGTGCTCTGTCTAGAGCTGCACTGAACACCAGATTGGCCCCGCCAAGGGCCAACGCTTGGCGACTGACGGTCGTTAGAAAATTGAGCTCAGAATTTGCAGGTAACTGGTCAACCTTTAGGGGTTGATTCAGAAGTAGGACCGTTTCCCTCCGAGAACAGTCCGGCTTCTGAGCCCATTCCGTCAAGCACTGGCACTCGTGAGTATCAGGGTTGCACATGCCGTGTCCGCTGCAGCCATTCGGACAAGAGTTGGCGTTAATTCTCAACGCCACATCAGCAGTCCTTGACCTTGGGTCATCCTCCTCCGCGTTCTCTACCCCCATGTACCACAAATTGGATGCACACTCTGAGGAGGAGGAGGAGGAGGAGGAGGACCCTGCCCCAGACTCATCAGGCCTTACGACCTTGAGCACAACCTGTCGGGGGCCGCAAGTCAGTCGAGCCCTGACGTCAAACTCGCTCGCAGTGGGTGGGCACCCTTGCCTGAGAAATACATTCACAGGAGGAGAATCTCTCCTCTTGTCCCCTGAGGAAGAAGACCCCGAGGCATTGCACTTACGATCCATGTCCTCAGGCGTACCCACCGTGACTGATATTTCGACATCTGACCCCTGAATGGGTCCCTGAAAATACCGCCATTGCCTCGGACTAAGCCCTTCAATGAGCACACTTGATGGAAGTCGGTCCAAAACAGTCACATTTTGAGGAAGAGGGGGAACTTTTCGGTCCTTCTCCTCCTCCTTCATAACCACATTAGCACCTATTCTGAACGACGCTGGTCGACCACTGGTGCCTTGAACACAAACTAGCCATGTTCCTTCCCACCGGGCATCAGACTTGGGAAAGGATGATCTCAACTCTACCTCTGGCCTGTCAGACTTGAAGTCCCACCGCACGGCGTCTAATGCTGCATACCCACTTCGGCCTTCGTCATCGGCAGCAGCAAATCGCACATAAATGCTTGGGCTATGAATCGTCGATGACCGATTCAACTCTATATCCACCCTGACAGCATCTGGCGTAACGACGAAATCAAAACACCTCCATGCCTTCCAGTGTACTGATGCCGACATGTAAGCACTCCCACCACCGCCACGACCGTCCAATGTACAACGGCAGCGCTGTCCAGGACACCTACTGCTGCTGCCACCACTACCGTGGTCCCAATTAGCGCTCTCATTATCGACGTCGGTACCATGGCTCCCATGCGTTGCACACTCGGTCCTGCACCACGCGTCGGTGATATTGGTCATCACAGAATGGCAATCAACGACGGCAGAGGCTGCGGAGGAGTGGGCAGTATCATCAGATGCGAAAGAGCCCTCACTTGAGCTGACGAAAAGGACGAAGAAAAGAAGACAAAGAAACCCGAAACGAGCACAAAATCTCCCGCGCCGCCATCGCCATGGCAGACGACAGGCTTTGCGGCAGCCATAGCTGGCGAAGCTGCTTGCTGTCGGGGCCGACATGATCCTGTCTACTGGCTCCTGCTGCAGCGCAGAACCTCTGGATTCTTTTTCTCTCTCCCCCCTCCCTCTCTTCGACTCCGGCGCTTCCGCTTGTCTGAAACCTTTGCCTGGAAGCTGTGACAAAGAAGAACGGAGGAGGAAGCTGCTAAAAAGAAGAAGCGAGGAAGAGAGGACGAGGCTAGATGAAGTTGAGAGCGATTATTACAGTTTGGAGTATAATAAATAATCAGAAGATGAGAGAGATGAAGCGAGCACCGGCAGAAAGCGTCTATAGTCGACGCTGTAGGAGAGCTACACAGGCATCGCTCCCGCGCTCGCCTCAACACCATACCCGGACGCGGGGCTACACACCCGTGCACAGCCAAACGCGACCGTTTACGCACACGTGTCACCTAATAACAAGGAGGGCCGTCCCAGCCCACAGGAACAGGAATTGGCGAGACGACCGACCACTTTCATAAGTGGCCGCCTAATCCATCAATCAATCGACATTGATTGTAGCTAGCTAGGTTAATAGATAAAATCGCCATCGCTGATCTGCGCGAACGTCTCTCTCAACCATAGTCTCCCGCTTCCGGCATTCTAACACGCTATAAGGGCGTAAGGCATCAGCAGCATGAGCCCAGCGCCATTGCTGGATCCGACGGAAGATCCCAACAGCGAGGAAGACTGCAGCAGCAAACGGGCGATCGCGATCTCTACTACCTCTTCTCCTTCTCCTTCTCCTCCGCCTCCCTCCACCTCTCTATCCTCTGTCTCTACTTTCCTCCCCCTTCTTTGCCTTCTTCCTGACTTTCCTTTTCCCTTCGTCATCAAGTCTCTCTCTCTCTCTCTCTCTCTCTCTCTCTCTCTCTCTCTCTCTCTCTCTCTCTCTCTCTCTCTCTCTCTNTCTCTCTCTCTCTCTCTCTCTCTCTCTCTCTCTGTGTGTGTGTGTGTGTGTGTGTGTGTGTGTGTGTGTGTGTGTGTGTGTGTGTGTGTGTATGAACATGGGGAGAAGAGAAGGCGAGAAAAGTCGGGGGAGTGTGAAAGGAGCAAAAAGCCTCCTCGATTGGGGACAACGACACGGTCTTACTTAATTTGATCGTCGAGCGCCTGGTTGAAGAAGTAGTGAAGAGTGGCCGTTCCACCTCTCTTCGCAGCCGCAAAGATACCTCGGCGTCCGCGCTACCTTCTCCTCCGCGCTCTTCCTCTTCCCTTCCTCCTCGTCGACTGCTGTCCGGTTGCTCGACTGCTTCCTGTTCCTTTGTCCGCGCCCCTGTTGCCTATTGTTCCCCCCATTCCCGCCGACATCGGATTCCGGTCCTGCCATTGCCAAGGATGACCACCGCGCCCGGGAACCCGTAAGCCCATACTCAGGCCCTCGCTCCACCACCACTCTCCATGCTCTGAAAAAAATGGCGGCTGTTCTCCATGGGCAATTGTACAGGTAACAGGAAGAGCCCAATTCCAATTTTCCCATGCTCCCTCCCCTGTGCTCATCGACCGCGCTCTCCGCCCACCGGCAACTTCCGCAATTCAGCGCTACGTGACAAAAAAAAAAAATTCTGCACTGCAGTCTCGTCCCGACCTCGGATTCTCTCTCTCTCTCTCTCTCTCGCTCTCGCTCTCTCTCTCGAAATTGGAGGGTCCGGGGCGGGAGAGGCCGGCCGAGCAATCTTCAAGGGAAAGCCCACTGCAGGCAAGCCAGTGCAGGCAAGGATCTCACAATCTTCAACAGAGGGGAGTGCTCTCCACCACCCGCCAATTATGAAAAGACGAAAAGTGAGCAGCGCATCTTTCACCCCTTGGCGAAAGATACATAGCGCCTCGCTCCACTACTCGTCACATGCACAAAAGACAAAAATTATGGTGCCGTATCTTTCCATGTTATAGCGGAAAATTCATCCTCATTTTGCGTAATTGGTGAGCAGTGGAGCGAGGCCCATACATTTTACAGATTCGTGAGCAGTGCAGGGAGGCCCAGAACCCCGAAAACGCTTCTTCTGACTGACAGCTCTCAATTTCCTCCTTTCTGTCAGAATTACGCGAGCCAGCGGAGAGAGGGTGCGAATCTTCAACCACGTAGTCCGGTGAGTGTTAGGACTTGCGTAAAATATAACTGCTACCCGTAGGGCTAGTTTCCGGGAGGAAGAGTTTCACTTTTCCGGACGAAACTGGACGTAATAACAGGCCGATTCATTTGCAGAAGTCCGAGTTTGGCGTCGCTTTATCACCTTCGATAAGTCATTGGGCCTCGCTCAAGGTCTGCTTTCTGCCGTAACACCAAACCCAAACTTCACTGGGATTCTTTTTCTTTGCCTCACTCGGCTTGTAGTGGGCTGTGGGAATTCACAGGGGGGCCTGAAAGATAGGTGATGACGTGCAGGGGTGAAAGAGATGGTGGGTGAAGTCTACCACGTCAGAGAGTGGGGAAGGCCGACTGCGGGAGAGGATATGGGAAGAGGATGGAAGGGTGTGGAGGGGGGAATAAGGGTAGGAGTTTTCTTAGGCAAGGACCCCACAGCGATGCGGACTGGAAAAACTTCGCCTCGGAACGTTACCGGTACCCCACAACCTTCCGCAAAGTCCTTGGAAGGCCATTTTCCTTTTCCGAAGGAGCACTTCCGAAACCCCACAACCCGAAATCGTCGGCTTGGAAAAGCGGGATTTCCTGTTTTCACATGGTTTCCGACCTGGAAAACCACCGTGGGAGAAGTTGTCGCCGTGTTTTTGTGCAGGGTAGGGATGGCATGTGCTTGGGACGCCCTCAAGGTTTCCAAGGTTGTGGACACAGCCCGGACGTCCCTGTGTCCGTCTATTGTTGTGATGTGTTCCTGGAGCATGGTCTCGTGGGCATCCTTGTCGCCTAGGGCAGCCCCATTGTGAAGGGTACCGGTCCCACACGCGGAGGGCCAGAAAGAAGCGGGGTTTTCGGCCGTTTTTGAATTTTCGAATTCGAATCCTTGGGCTCCCCATCGTCTCGATGGCATGGACATGCAGCCGACGTAGGCTATCGATAGGGGAATCTTTTCACGTCGACGGCTACAGTAGAGACGGTCCGTTCAGGCACGTGCGTGGTGAAGGTCCATATCCGAAGCTGTTCCAAACGCTTTTCCATGCAGAGAGCGGGGCACCTCCATCGTCGGGGTGCTGCTTGGACCTCGGTGGCTGGCTGTGTACATGGTTTGGCTCGTCGATTGCTGCACGTGGGGAGGCTGCCGGGGGGCAGCTCCATTACCTCTACTGCCTTCCATGCACCAAGCACGGCAGGCCGACGTCGGAACAATCTCCGCTGCGTGTGGTCTGCCCATGCTCCCGCAACCGAACTCGTGTGCATGCTGCGTGCTGCCCGCTTGCCCGCCATATCTGGTTTTTGGAGAAGCTCGGCACAGCCGAACGCCGACATTGCACTTGTCGTGCCTAGAGTTTTTCCACGGGTGACGATTCGAGCCGGTAAAGTACGAGAGTGGGAGGGAGGAGAAGTGCGAAGGGACGAAGAGCAGCCGTGCGTGAAGGTCGCGCCACTGCCCTATCCATTTCAGCGTCCTGGACGTTGTGCATGTCACACATGTTCGCATGGAGTGAATCGCGAAACGGGCGCAGCGACGGTCATCATTGTCGGTGGGGACCATCGCACCCTGTGCAGGAGCATCGTTGGACTGCTCGTTTGGGCATTCGTAGTGTGTTTGGGTCTTGTGCTCGCTTTATTGTCGGTGGTTGCTGTGTGTGTGGCTGCAGTTCTTATTGCCATCCTGTCAATACGTGCCTAACCTCCACGGTGGTCTGTGCTTTGAAGATCCTGGTGTGTACTGACCGGGATGGAGGGCCACAATTTCATTTCAGAGTTGTACAGCGATTTGGGAGGGTCGGCAAACATGGATGTCGTCGACGACGTCACGGTGGACACACACTTTGAAAGCACGAGATACCGAGCCAGTCTGTCGGCAACAGCCTGGCAATACGTCCCAGACTCTCCATTGAACAATGAGAATCAATCGCAGTTCAGTACGCATCCCACACACGCACGAGCCTCTTTCGCCATGCCAACGCAAGACTCATCATCGAGCGCCGGGTGGGGGACGTACCCGCCCCAATTGCATCAACAAGTTACGCAAAAGGGCAGAAGTGGGAGTGTTTTTAGTTTCCACAACCAATTTCTGTGCGGGGATTGTCTTCAAGGAGCGAGGCGAGCATATGGGGTTGTAATCCTGAGCCATCGCTGCATCGGGTGCACTGTTTGCCGCCTCTCTCACCAGCGATTGGCAACCACTGCATACCAGGGGGGGGCGACAATGTTCCTGGTAGGTCGCCTCCGGTCGATCGGTCCGGCCGGCAACAGAGTGCAGTCAGGGCAACTTGAATGGGCATTCGACACATTGCAGGAAGTTCAAGTGGTCTGACGGCGGGAGTGGTGGATCACCAACACGCAGGTGTGAGCCGGGGAGGTGAGTCATCGAGGTCGGCTGATCGTTGATCGAAGGACGAGGAAAGAATGTCCGTTGATAGACCACCGACTCAAAGGCAGGCCCGTTGTCAGAGGGCGCGGTGTTCCGGCCCTCCTCTGTGTGCCAAGTCCCTATCTGGTACCTGGGCTATAGTATGATGTGGACCAGTCCCGGTGGCGTTGCCCTCAACAAAAGGGGTGCGCCACAGGACTTTCATTGGTCCCCTCAAGCTCGGCGCCCTGCTGTACAGCAGAGCACATCTGGCCTGTGACCGTGGTAGCCGCTGGGTTCGCCCTGGGACGCGGAGATGAAGGGGGTAGCGCAGTCTTTTCTACTGCGCGCCGAGTGCCCTGTTGCCGAGTTATGGGTTGGGTGCATGAGACAGAGAGTCGTTGTTGGAAAAGAAAACAGGAAAAGAAAAATAAAACTCCAAGAATTTAAACCCACTTTTGTATGGGGAAAATCCAGTGGCCTCGGGTTGCTGCGATGCTATGATTTCTTTTCCAAAATTCTGAATTGTCATTTTCCACCTGATAGTTTTGTCGTTTCATAGGGAAGGCCGCCGATTCAGGTCTCGGACTACAACTGTCGTCACATGGTCTGGGTCTCACCGACCCCTCGTAAAAATTGCCTGTACCGGACCTGTTTGTCCGAACCGTGCGGACCCCGGTGACCAGGTAAAGAGGCAGATACAGTAAGGACTAAAAGGAAAAAGAAAACGAAAGAAAAAAAACATGGTGAAAGAAAGAAAAGGAACGAGAAAGATTGAAAGTCGGGTGCAAGATTTGTGTGTGCACGTGGATCGCAGTTCAGGCAAGGGTGTTGCGCGGAGAAATTATGGGACGCCACCCTTTCCTTTTCGGCGATTATTATTGGTATTATTATTATTACTTTATTACTATTTAGCTTTCTAAAATTTGGTTTTCAACCTGTTGGCTTATCCTTTCACGGGAAGCCAACGGTCCGAATTTTGAAGCCAACAGTCCGTAGCCTAAGTAGGCCGACCTTGCATGTACTATCCGCGGGTGAGCCCCGATCTGGCTCCGTGCGATGAGACCCCAAAAGAAGGGTGACCCGCAGCCGCATCGGTAGGAGGCCTATCACCCCCCTGTGGAGGGTCATAAGCCCCCTCCTTGCCATCGGACATGGGTACCCGATGAAGATG